GGACACACGCACAGTGCAGGCAAGGCCCGGGAAGAGCAAGAGCTACACACTATAATAGGAACATTTCTCTAAGCCGAGGCGGCAAAACCATGGCTTTGTAAATTGTTACTGGAGCACAGCCTGAAGAGCAGCACGGAAGGATCCTAAGCTACGCCATTTGCTTAGGAGTCCTCTGTAGCTGCTTTCATGCTCGGAGGCACAGCTGAGTAGATGCTACAGAGACTAGTCCAATGTTCCTTGTTAGAAAGTGGGAATTTTTGAGCATGCTTCCTCCTAGTCAACTTGGCCATAAATCCCAGCTACAACTAACAAAACAGCCTTACAAGATAGATCACTGTCAACTTTCCTGATAACGGGATGCAGTTACTTATTCCACCAGGCGCCAAGACCCCATATAAATGGCATGATGACTTTACCTAAGAAAAACTACTTTATTTAAATTGTTTTAAATTGTTTGCTCTGTAAAAACAGGAGGCAGTGAATAGGTATAAATACGCTCAGATACAAAGGGTCGGGGCTGCGTGGAGAGAGCAGTCAGCTGGCTGGTATTAAAAGGCTCCCTAAATTTTAATTTGGTCTGGACTCCAGTGGTGGTTTACTCACGTTCGCTCCACAACATTCTGACCCTTTGCAGAAAGTGTTTGTCAACCCTTGCTCTAGGTAAGGCATTTCCCATCTAAAAGTCAGCGGGTGGACACCAATCCACAGGCAACATGGACATTACCTATGATTCTGCTAATAAATAGGTTTGATCAAGTTTAAATCCACCCCACTAACCAATATTTATTTATTAGGGGCTACTATGGGACAGTCTTGGCTAGCTAGGGGTTGGGCTTACAAAGGTGAACAAAGTTAAACTGGGATTTCACTTGACGCAAAAAAAAAAAAAAAAATCAGGATTTAAAATAATTTCAATACAATGTAATTAAGATGTTAGAGTATGATTTCATGTCTTCTTTTTCCCATAAAGTGAATTGTAAGATTATAACATTGGGCTAAAAGCTCTCTAGTTTTTTTGTTTGTTTGTTTTAAGCATAACTACTAGAGATGAAACTATAATTTTGGGAAATCACTGATCAAATTTGCAGAAAAGATTAACTTACTGATATTTCTTATAACTGTCAAATTCACTATTGGCCCTCTACTACACAGTTCTGATCTCTCTGCCGTAAGTGGAAAAAAGCAAAGGTATTGAGACATTAAAGCAAACAGTTAAAGAGTTAGACTTCTATTTTTTAAGATTGAATTTTTAAATTGGAATCCGTATTAGCTGGTTCACACATTAACCTTCTGCTAAAAAAGGCATGAGGGACGGAGACAGTGGCCAGGTTCAACCAAGATTTCATTATCTGTTACCTATCTTTGCAACTCCAACCAGGTATCAGGTGAATTGTGGGGAAAGCCAATTTCGACATCCCCTAGATGTGATGAAATTGATTATCCTCAGGCAGAGCAAAAAGAAGACAGAAAATAACAGCCGCTTCACAGATGAGCATCTTTCCCGCCCTGATAACTCTTTATTTGTCCTGGCTATTGACAACGCTTTTTTTTTTTTTTTTTTTTTTTTTAAATCATACTAAGGTTTTTATTGAACTTCAGAAGGAGAAACTGAATGCATCCGTTTCTAGGGAAACCTGGGCCGGGAAGCCCGCAGGCTCGGATTCAGAGGCGGCATCCCTCCACACAAGGTGGCCCGTTGTGTAGTAACACCCCTCCTCCTCATTTACCTCCTCCATTTAGAGATTACTGCAACAATGTGAGATGATTGTTGATGCTCGTTATTAAATTATTTATTCATCCCACACAATGATTCAGAATTATTCATTAAGCTTGCTGGGAGGAAGCGGGGTTTTACCTCCAGAGTGGTTTGAGGAGGGATGTGCTCTTTAAAAGGGTATTTTATAACAACACAATTATCATAATTAAAAGCTAACCTGGATATTCTGATGAGCTTCTGACAAATTTTCTGTGGCATTTTAACGCAGGAGATAAATGAGCCTGCAGCAGGAGTAGGGAGGAATACTGCTGTGGGGAAAAGCCGAGGCAGTATTAAATACCATCACCACCCCCAATTTCATCATGGTCTTCAAGTTAATTGATTTTACAAAATGTCACTAGAACTTCTGGCTTCCCAAAATGAGTTCAAAGACATTGCTGTGACGCAGCCATCCCCTGCATTACTGAGCCGCAGAGCAGACATGCCCAGGAGAGCCCACCTACCTGAGCTTCCCCACCAAGCAGGTCACTCGGCCTGCCAGAGCTGCATTCACATCTGATGCCATCTCTTCTCCATGCTGCCCGTGGCTTGTTCTGTGTCCGAAAGGCCCTTAAGCAAAGGGCCTGGCTTGGTTAAGCCACTAAAAGTGACGGGGACTGCAGTTTGAGCACCCATCTCCCTGGTTTTCCCTGTAAGCGCGTCTAGGGGAGATCCTGAGGCAGTAGCCACGAGGACGTCTTCTCACAGGTGAAGGGGGTGCCTGGCAGGAATTTTGGGGGGCAAGCTGTGAAGTGAGAAAGGCCTGCTTTTGAGCCTGGAGAGCCAGCATGTGGATCAGAGCAGAGGATGCACAAGACCAAAGGCCTGGAGGCCCTGTGATGGGCGCTGACACGCGAACACCTTATGGAAGGCTGTGCTGGGAGCTCTGAGAAACCTGGACTTGGTCTGCTCTGCGGCCGGCATACAGCGATGCCAAACAAGGACATGGGCTGTGGATAGTCGGTCAGGGTGGGGAAGGAGGCTTAGTTTCAGCCCTTCATTGTCCTACAAATTCTGATGAAAAATTTATTATGTGAGCCCTGAGCCAGGCCTCCTGAATGCAGGTGACTACAACAATGGCTCTGTTCAAGAGCTGAGTCCAGTGGGGGAATCAGACAAGGCAAGACATACAAATCGGCTGGGATCCAGGAAAGCCAGAACGGGGATAGGCTGAGGGCACCTTATCCTGAAGGTATCTGAGTAGAGCAGCTGTTGGCCAGGTGAAGTGGAAGAGGCAGAGATGGACTGGAATGGGGAAGAATGGGCCCGGGCACCAGGTCAGAGCTGTGCCATGACCTGGATGAGAGACATGGACAGGATGGAGATATGAGGAGGCAGAACAAAAAGGCAAATGATATATCAGAGTCTCCCTGGGCAAGGAGGCCCTGCTGGGGACAGTCCGTCAGGTTCTGGAGCCGGAAGTACTGAGTGGAATAAGAAACCAGCACCCTGCTCTGTCCCCTGGTTAGCAAGCAACCTCCAGATAATTTGGAGTCCCATCTCGCTCTGTCTTGGGAAGACTGTGCTAGGGCTGAGGGGAGGGTTTCAGTCTCACACTGAATCATTTAATTGGAATTCTGGTGGTAGATGTTTGTTTCTGGGAACGGGGGCAAGTGGAGTCCGCCTCCATGGCAGGCCAGCCCTGGTGTGCCAACCAATCCTCCTTGCGCGTGCAGGGCTGCAGGCCTGACAGGGAGGTGGCCGGCACAGCCCAGATCTGATGCCTTCCTGGCGGTGGGCAGCAGGCTCCCCGAGGATGCCCTGTTAGAGCTGTGGGCTCTCTCTATAAAATCACAGGTCTTACGATCTGGGGTGCTGGTGGCCGCATGTGCTCCATCCTACGATGGGAAACTCCAAAGCACATGCCACTCAAGTCTGTGATTGACAACAGCAGAGAACAAAGAGCAGCCACGTGGATGGCATCTGCATCATTTAACATTTGATATGAAAGGAATCATTTGAGTGGCATAAAAATGTTCTCTCTGACATTATTTTTTGTTAAAAAAAAAAAAAACAGTCTCCATGGTGGTGCTGATGCCATCTTGACACTTTATTTCCTTGTCACCAAAACGGTTTTCTACACCAACTCAAGCTTGGCACAAAATTTCAAAGACCTTAATAGTTTCTAACTTCATCTCCATGGAACAGTTGGAAAATGTCTCCAATTATGCAAGCTTTTTATAAAATGCCTCAAAAATACAGAAGGGCCTATTGTACTTTTCACCAGTGAATGCGAACTCATTTAATGATCAAAGATGAAAAGAAGAGTGTCAGGATTTTTTTTTTTTTTTTTAATTCTAATGAATGATTGCCACTTGGTTAGGCCACCTCCCTCTCCTTACCCCCTAACCGACACATTTACATTTTAGAAAAGTCTGATAAAGTGCACTCTGGAAAGATCTAAATAGAGGCATTAGGACCAAAACAAGAGACCCAACAGCTGTCAAAACTGGAATCCTGCCAGGTCTCTGGTACCTCGGGGGCAGCTCAGATCACACCACTGTTCACGAGAGGAATACTGCAGGTGCTACCAGGGGCGGAAGAGAGGTGTGTGCGCTAGTGCTGCACAGAGTGCCACCAGAAACCAGATCCACAAAGGGAGCCTCTTCATGCTATGTCAGTGTGCACACACGTGTCAAATGCATGACCACTTAAAACATACAGTAACATTTAATGTTGAGATCACACCATGTACGTTTCTCTCTCCTGGTTCTGGAGGAGACATGGTCCTTCCCAAAGGAGAGCCAATGAGGCCCAGGGCCTGCCCATGGCAGCCCACCCAGGACTCCCCGGCTATACCTGAGGGAGTGGGAAGCTTGGCTCTTACAGATCATCCGCCCGTGGGCAAGTTCCTGCTCCTCAGAGAAAGGAGAAAAGGTGCCCTGGCATCTTCCCTTTGCAGGGGCACATGTAGTCACACTCAGACCCTGCCCCAGTACCCTCTACCTGCAGTCCCCTACCCCCCAGCTGTGAGCAGCTGTCACAACGTTAGTGCCCACAGACAAGGAGCTATTCTAATGCTTTCAGCCTCTTCTCATTTAATCTCACAACCAGCCTATGAGGGCTCCTCGTGCTGTTCCTACTTTACAGTTGAGGACACCGAGGCAGCCTGTCCCAGGCCTCACGGCCAGTGAGTGACGGAGCTGAATCAGAACCCCTTCGCCAGGCGGTGGAGGGGCAGAAGGATCTGGAAACCTCCCCTTCGGACCACCCTTCCACCCAGACACTGGGGCCCCGCTGCTACCTGCTTTGGCGAACTTGTCTGCCATCTCCTTCCGCACGCTCTTGGTGAGGTTGAAGTAGTCATCGTCCTCGTCGATGCTCTGGAGGAAGAGGGGGATGTGCTGGAAGACGATGGCGTGCTGGCACTTCCGCTGCCCCGCGGCGCTCAGCTGCTGGTCCAGCCACTGGTCCTGGGCCTGCTTCAGGGCGGGGCACAGGGAGGCGTCGTACAGAAACTGGGAGTTGAGGACGAGGAACAGGACGCCCCCGACCCAGAAGCTGAAGTAGTCGTCTCCCCACGTCTCCTGGAACTCGGCGATGGTCTCGGGCGTGGGGACGTTGCCCACGTCGTGGTTGCCGCTCACCAGGACCAGCGGGATGTCGCTGTCCACCTTCCTGAGCACCCGCTGCAGGTCCTTCGTCTGCTCCTTCCGCCAGAGCATCCCTGCAAGAGTGAGGGTCACGTTCTGAAATGGCCGAGGTTGTTGGGACATTTATTCACATGAAATAAGAGGGGATAATCTAAAAATTCATCTAACCAGGCAGAGAGAAACTGCAAAAGCAATCCTATGCTAAAAGCAAGTCAGCGAGTTGGAAACCACTGCCCCCTGGGTAGAATGTCCTTCCCTCAGGATGCCTTGGATTTCAATGACTAAGTGGCATCTGACCCAACGTGCCAACTGAAGGATGGTGGAGTCATTGTACTATTAAATGCTAGTAAAGCTTGGTTCCTATCTTTTGTTTAGATGGAAAATAGGTATAAGTACTTGAAACTGTCCTGCCCCATCTCAGTGGGTCGTGCTGAGCACCCCTGCAGTAGTCCCAAACTGAAGCGTTTCATAATATACACACGGCCTTGCAGACTGTGTGAGCACCTTTATGGGAAAAATTCTTAAGAGACTGAATGGCTTGATCCTGGCACATGCACCTCGCTAAATGCCCCCCATACAGAAAAAGAGTTGTTTTTTTTTTATATTCCATTAGTGGTGTTTAAAAGCTCAAATGCTCAATGTCTTAATATTAAGTGTGCCCCCCTGACAGAGGATTCAGTTTGGAGATGATTATTTAACTCAGGGTGGGGAAGCTTTGTTCTGCCGAATGCCATTTGGATATTTATAACATCATTCGCCATACAAAATTATCAACTTAAAAAGTAGGCTGCTATATTTGGTCAAACATTTAATTAACTCACCCTAATGCCTTGGCAGGAACAGACCAAATGATATCTCAGCCTTATACGGCCCACGGGCCAGATGTTCCCCACCCCAGATTTAGCTTGAGAATTGGAAAGCATGTGGAGACCTGACTCCCTCAGATTCCTGGCTTCCACACTTGATATAATAATACATCAAATCTTTAATAGATGGGTTCTAAAATGACCAATTCAAATCCACATCTGTTTTTTGAGCCCCTCTATGCTAATGTATTCAACAAATAATTACTGAGTGCAGACTACGTACAAGGCTCTGATTTAGTTCCCAGGAGTCAGGTCTTCCCTTCAAACTGGGGACCCAGGTAATTTGTCAAGGACGTGACAGATGCACCCATCTGTTTCAAAAGTTATGAAGCGTCATTAAGAAAAGCCAAGTGGGGGAAGGCCATGCTTCCCACGCCAAGTTAGTCTGGACGAATATGCTTAGTATCGTGCAAAGACAGAACGAGAAAAACGATGAGAAGAGCTGCCCAGCTTCCCGGTGGGTGATGAAAACTCACCTGGAAAAGGTTGCCATAGCGGATGAAAATTACACCCATCATTTCATTTCCATCATGAATTTAAAGGAAAGCAGAAAGTCTTTATGAAGCAATTACAGCTAAGAAAGACCATAAGGCAGAAATGAAGGAATTCATCTAGATCCTAGATGGTCGTAACACAAGCAGAGGTGAAGTAGCAACTGGTAGAAATAACTCGGGAAAGAAACGGAGGGACACAAAAGAACATCTCATAAGTTATAACTACAAAGTAAGTAGCAGCAGCGAGATTCCCTTTACAGCCAAGTGTGCGCCAGTTTCCCTCGCGTCCCATGAGCATATGAAGAAGGTGTGTTCTCCAATTGTTGAACACACAGCTCCTCATACTCCCACGCAGTCACACTTGTTCATGGTGTGATACAGAGATCCTCTGCCATTATTCTTTTTCACCTATTGATCTGCACCCATTTCTGAAAGATTTGGTTAAGTTGCCACAGTTATCGGTTGGATCCATTTAGAAATTCTGTCAACTTTTGTGTTCATCTACTTTTAGGTACCTTGCCTAAGAGCTGAGAATTTCCATATGTCACTGAAATGTTTTATGTTTAATCCAGATAAGGTAAGTTAGTAATAAGAAAAGGAAGACGGAGAGCCACTCTTTTGCATGTGGACATCCAGTTGTCCAGCAGCATTTGTTACAGAGACTGTCTTTCCCCATTGAACTGTCTTGACAACCTGATCAGAAATCAACTGACCTTAAATATGGGAGTTTATCTGTGGGCTCCATTTCTATTTCATTGATCTATATGTCTAACCTTATGCTAGTACTACAGTGTTTTGATTACTGTAGCTTTCTCATAAGTTTAAAATCAGGAAGTGTGAGTCCTCCAACTTTGTTCTTCTTGTTGCAAGTTCCCTGAACTTCCATATGGATTTCTGGATCAGCTAATTCAAGGTCCAACATACAAAAAGCTACAGCCTTTTCTTTTCTTTTCTTTTCTTTTCTTTTCTTTTCTTTTCTTTTCTTTTCTTTTCTTAAAATATATTTTATTGATTTTTTACAGAGAAGAAGAGAGAGGGATAAAGAGTTAGAAACATCGATGAGAGATAATCATCAATCAGCTACCTCATGCACACCCCCTCCTGGGGATGTGCCCACAACCAAGGTACATGCCCTTAACCAGAATCAAACCTGGGACCTTTCAGTCCGCAGGCCAACACTCTATCCACTGAGCCAAACCGGTTTTGGCAAGAAGCTACAGCTTTTTAGGAAGGCTTGTCTGGGTTTTTGCCACTGCAGACACACCCATCACCTGGCTGTTCTCGGATGGACCATGGCCCAGCAGGTGAAATGTTCTTCTGAGAGTAATGTCTGCCCACAGGAGTCACAGGAGAGGGAGGCAGCGGGGGTGTGGGAGCCCTAATATGTTCTGAGAAGAGTTCATGTTAAAAGGACTCTGTCCTCATAAAGATTCTTTGGCCAAAGGCAGAGGGGCTGGCAGAGAGGCGATTTTATGGTTTTCAGCAGGAGGTGATAAAAACTAGATCATCGTTGTGATACTAGAAAAGGAAAGAAAAAAGACCATGTAAATATGTGTAAGCCTTGTCCTGTTGGCGTAAGAAAACATAGAGGTGAAAATATGTAAATGTCTGTCATTGTCTGCACCTGTCACTGTGGGTCAAGGTCGTCCATAAATTATTTCCCCCAAAAAGTGATCATCCCTCTAGTGTTTATGTTCTTTAAAGCCAACCTTGGTGTTATTATAAGATATGTACATGCAATATGATGGGATACTCAATTTAACAGAGTACTACTAGCACTTGGCACATGGAAGTGCTACATGTACATGGACGACATTGCTCAAGGCTGATGCTGACAAGAAACATGCAACATCCCGGGACAAAGTTCCAGGACAGTTATAAGCAGATTCACCTTTGGAACTGGCAAGTCCCCTCAGGGGAAGGAATGACCAGTTCATTTCTGTTCAGAGCTGCTGGGGGTCAGGTGCGTGAAAAGGTCTTAGTTAGAATGATTGTCTCTTTTTACTCTAAGGTTCCATTTTATAATTATAACTCTGGCACCTGGGGCTATGCTCCCAAAAGCTTTATATTTAAACAGGGTTTTAAATATAAAACATAATGAAAAATTAATAAAAGTTTCACAGTTAAACTCCAAAGAGAGTCACTGCTTTTTCAAAGCCAGAGGCAAAATCTACAATGTCCCAGTTATCATAGGGCTAGAGGAACAGAAATTATTTGTCTTCAGCTAGGCATTTATTCAACACACCTGCTGACCTACTGTGTGCTAGGTCTTGGCCATACCAACAGAAGGAAGGGAGATATTTTTGTTCCCATGGAGCTCAACATCTAGAAGGGGAACCAAACATAATAAAGGGAATGACCATGGTGTATTGCACAAGATGGGAAGTTATGTGACGGGCATCAGGCCCCGAGAAACCCACATAGTCGAGAGAGCCTTCCCAGAGAAAGCAACACTCCCGTCAACATGAAAATTTTAGGGGGACTTAGGGCCTTCTGAAAAGGAAGTAAGCCTTCAGAGGCAAAGAAACAGCAGGGTGAAGCCAAGGTCAGAAAGAGGATCTGGCACTGGGAGGTGGGGCAGTACAAAGCTGCAGCCAGAGTACTAAAAAGCGCACACTGTAGACTGCTGACTATGTTCTTGGCACTGAGAGAAGCACTTCACACAGATGGTCTCACTCCTATAAGAACCAATGCAGAATTAATAACACAAATGGGGAAACTAAGGCATGGGTGACGCCCTCATTCAAGGTCATAGAGCTTGTAAGATGTTCACTGGGTTTTAACCTACATAGGGCTGCCAGATGAAATATAAGATGTCCAATTATATGGAATTTCAAAAGGATATTTTAGTATTAGTACGCAGTATTTGTGTTCCTGTATTTTTCTTTGCGAAATCTGGCAGCCCTAGCGAGACTCAGATTCCACCTTGGTTATCCCAGCCTGACTCCAAAGTTGGTGTCCTCAGTGATGAAGGGAAAGATACAAGAGCCAAGAGCAGATGCAGAGTGAATATGAATCTATGGGGAAAGGAGAGAGCACTGCAGGCAATTCCACGAGTTTCTATGCTGAAGTGTAAGACTATGATTTCAGGTCCAATCACTTAAACAGTTAGCTTGGTCACATATTTCTTGATGTGTAACCCATCTGTTGGCAACAATCTAAAAGTGTTGCTAATACAATTTGTTGGTCAGGGTATGGGGAAACAGACAATGTTTAGTATTGGCTGGAGTGTAAAAGGTTTTCTTTATTCAAATTAAAAAAACTCACATACACCTTGATTCCCATGTTTTAATACCTGGAATTTTCCTCAACAATAACGTGTGGGAAAAAAGTACAAATAACAATTTTTATTGCGGCCATTTGTAAGAGCAGAGCAGTGCTAGGAGTATGATAAGGGGAGTAAATGGAACATTTAAGAACCTCCCTCTCAGGTTTGTGCAAGTGCTGGCCCGGCATTTGCACGACCTTGAGAGTGAGTGTCTCTTTAAATGATGTTCCCTGGACACCTCACTTGCTTCACACACCCCTAGTGCTGCAGCATATCGTCATAGATAACCTAAGTGAACACATAAGATCTAGCCAATCAGTGAAATACTATGTAGCTGCATAAAAGAATGAGGAAGACTATCAAGGGGAAAAAAGCAAGATCAATATAGGCATACATCAGAGATACTGAAGGTTTGGTCCAGACTGTTGCAATAAAGCTAGTACTGC